AGATGCAGTGGTCGATAAAAAAATGCACAACCATAATGAAGAGGAGGATTGCGGGCAGTTTGATGAAACGTCTTGGAGAGATACTTTCAAAGCGAAAGATGCAACACAGCCGGTTGAAGATGATGCAAGTGGGAAGGTGCAATTACAACCCGATGGTATGGATGCGGGCGCGACGCACAGTAGACTTCTTACAAAGAAACAACTTTCGGATATGGCTTGGGGAGTGAGGGAATTAAGTAAGAGGCTGGGGAGTATCAGGTTGAAGCTGAAAGTTAGAACGGTTTTCATCCTTACAAAGGTGCATGATGAGAGCCTGATTGCAAATACCAGGGAGGTTACCAGATGGCTTTTGAGTCCAGAAAGACAGGTCAGATACACGGTGTTCGTGGAGGAAAACCTACGGGATAGTAAGAAGTTCGACGCGAAAGGGTTACTGGATGAGTTGGAGGAGGCTGAAGAAGGAAAGATTAATGGTGATAAACATAAGAGGTTGAGATACTGGTCATCAAATATGTGCAGGACGAGGCCGCATACATTTGATTTTATCATTACCTTGGGCGGTGATGGAACAGTTCTCTATGCGAGCTGGCTGTTCCAAAGAATTGTACCTCCAGTTTTAAGTTTTGCACTGGGAAGTCTAGGATTCCTAACCAAGTTCGATTTTGGAGATTTCGAGAAACAATTAACCACTGCATTTAGAGATGGAGTCACTATCAGTCTCAGATTAAGGTTCGAAGGTACGGTAATGAGGAGCCAGACGAGAAAACCCAAGGCCGTTACGGATGGCGAGAATGGTGATGAGGACACAATCCCGGAACGAGACTTAGTGGAGGAGTTAGTGGGCGAGGAAATGGGAGATGAGAGAACTCATCGACCAGATGGGACATATGAGATTCTCAATGATATCGTGGTTGATCGAGGACCAAATCCTAGTAAGTAAATATCCCATGACAGTGAATAATTTTGGTCAGCAAGTACTTACACGCAAAAGCCATGTCTTCCATCGAGATATTCGGCGACGATGAACACTTCACCTCCGTCCAAGCGGATGGTGTCTGCGTTGCCACACCCACTGGCTCCACAGCCTACAATCTCGCTGCCGGCGGCTCCCTCTGCCATCCTGAAAACCCCGTCATCCTCGTATCAGCCATCTGCGCACATACTCTCTCGTTCCGTCCCATCATCCTCCCAGATACTATTGTACTTCGTCTGGGTGTTCCGTATGATGCAAGAACGAGTAGTTGGGCGAGTTTTGATGGGAGAGAAAGGGTGGAATTGAACCCGGGCGATTATGTGACGATTAGTGCTAGTCGCTATCCGTTCGCTAATGTGATGCCTCAAGGGAGGAGGAGTGAAGATTGGGTTAATAGTATCAGTGGGAAGTTAGGATGGAATACGAGACAGAGGCAGAAGGGGTATAAGGAGTGGTCTACGTGAGGATTGGTAGAATTGTTTGTGGTGCATGGGGGTGGGGGTTGATATTGGGTGGAGAAATTGAAAAGGGGAAAAGATGAGAACGGGCTATATGATACACAAGACACGATGAAAGTTGGCGATGGTAGTAGCAATGACAATGGAAAAATCCAAGGTTGAGTTTAGTGTTGTTGTGAGATGTTTGCACCAGTTGAGACATCGTCAATAGTTGCTCCTTTTTGTACATTCTTCTCATGGGCGCATAAAACGACGATCCACACCAGTCATGAATCTAGAAATACAAACCAGTATTTGGTAACTTCACCGCTGTATAGCTTTGAACCTGTAGCAATCTGATCTTGTACAAGTGGTCTGATCCAAGTATGGTCCGCTCAGCTTCTATTCTCGATGTGTATAAATATCTATCTCAGCATGATCTCTTTACATATACTTATCTCGAGAGATATGCAAGCACAATAAGGTCCGCAATAATCCAATCTTCTAGTATTGCAAAAATCATGGAGATTACCTATGGGATAAAAAGATGGATAACCATTGTGTAATTGATCTTAATCTGTATGCTAATATATGCAATCTCAATACTCAAAAGATGACTTTGTTTTGTAGTTCTGCATGAAATCCTTCGGCGGTCAAATCTTGATCTTTTATGGGGTTGGCTCTGGTGTTCAGAGATCTTGTACTATCACCCCTTAATATCTACAATTTATATCGCATCGTTTCAAAAAGATCAAATAAACAAATCCAGAGCCGAAATTTCTCGTAAAAGCATAAAAGCATGCTTAAAAACTGGAGCGAATGTCATTTTCGAATGGTGAGATGGGCTATAAAGGGGTTCTCGTGTATGCCGGTACGCTATCATCTAATGGGATCGTATTTGCCCCACATTTCTTTTTGGCAACCATTAAATGCTCGTGTTGGTACGTGATGGAATAAAAAAATATATATAAACGGGAGTGTTCGTGATGTTCTAGATGGTTTTGAGATCAACATTCACCCGCTTTACTCAGTCATTGTCCAGAGTTCGGACAATATGAGTGCTTTTACTTTACTTGCCTTAACGGCTGCTGCTTCAGCAGCTGTTTTGGAGTTGCCAGTTCATATCCAAGATACATATGTATGTTACACTACTTTGACGTCAAACTGAATACTAACAAGACATTCTTCTAGTCCTCGGTAGAATTTGAAATTGGCACTCCGGCAAAACCATACAGGTTGATGTTCGATACCGGATCCACCACTTCCTGGGTCACCGGACGCAATTGCACAGATACTTCATGTCCCAGCCTGAGCGCATTCGTCCGAACTCTATATGATGAGTCGGATTCGTCTACTTCTGTTGATGTAGATCAGTATGCCAGTATCCCATATATTGACAGTGATCTTCTCGCCGGCTATGTATTCTCTGATGTATTTTCAGATGAAAAGGGAACGTTGAGCTGGAACCAAACTTTCATAGCTGCAGAGCAAAGTAGTTGGCGATGGATCACCGCCGATGGATTTCTCGGCTTAGGATTCTCCTCCATTGCGGAGAATCAGACGAGTTCGCTTGTGGAGACTCTTCTCTGGGAGGACAAACTTGATGAAACGCGTTTTGCTCTTTTCTATGGAACGAATCTCAACAACACAGGTGTTCAAGATGGCGTTTTGACTATTGGCGGAAGTCATGAAGATGTCTATGTGGATGGAGAAGTAGTTTATATGCCTCTCCGCGTGGAAACCCCATATCAACTCTGGCGCGCACCTCTCCGCTCCATCAATGTTCTTGCCGCTCGCGAAAATCAAACCGTTACTGTACATAACGGTAAACTTCCATCGACAAATGCACCTGCAAATACCTATCCTAAAGCTAATACTACCTGGCCCATTTACGGTCAAGGGACTGCCGTCTTCGATACCGGCGCCGGACGCATCTCGATTCCCTCATCCATGATCGGCGCCTTCTATTTCAATCTCGGTTGGAATCTCACGAAATTGTACAATGGAGAAGAGAGAATGCAATGTGAACATATGAATAGCACATGGGCCATTTCTTTCACATTCGGAGAAAGTGATGATCAGAGTAACGATGTGACGTTTTCGGTTAGGGGCGATGAGTTTTTGACACCGGGTGAACAGTGTATGCCACCTGTTGATGACAGTGGTGGAAGCAGCTTTTCTCTTCTCGGTGCTGATTTCTTGAGAAGACATTACTCTGTCTTTGATTTCGGTGGAAATAGAGTGGAAGATTATCAGCCTCGAATCGGATTCGGAAAACTTAAGGAAGAGTACGATTATCTTAAGTAGTATATATCGCCATGTAATTTGTTTGAAAATAGTAATTAGTCAGCGTAAGGAAATGGACATGTATCTTTTATAACGAAATGTTAAATGATATGAAATATTCAACCGCATTTATGTGTCATCTTTCAATGGAACAAGCCTATATATGACATAACTTACTGCCTCCTTGTAGCTTCAGTTTCTGCAACAGCGCAACCTTCTATACAGACAAATGAGATACCGAGTCAATTTAATCTAAGCTTCTCTATCTATGTCCTTCCTCTCCAGTTTCTGAGATCTCTTCAACTACGCTCTAATAGCTATCTGGTTCTAGTAGAGGACAGCGAAATAACAGCAAGCCTACCCAGCTTACATTAAACCATGCCTCTCAGAACACAATACATTCTTGAACAATCTATTCATTCAAAACACCCATCCAACATCCATACAAAGCTCTCACACCCTCCACCCCTTCCCCCCAAATCGAACCCCTTCTCACCTCACAAACCCGAGCATTCAACCGCACACAATCATAAAAATATAATCCAAACTTCAACATCCAGAATCATCACCACCATCAATGGCCAAAAACATACAAACATCATTCTCCTGATCTCTTCTAACCCTAATATCCTCCAAAAACACTCAAGCCCATTCCTCGGTACTTCCCTATTGATCCAAGCACTCAGAAGCGAGGAATAGTAACTGCAGCACAGCTAATAGTAAGAAGACTAAAAATTTGATACTCGTAAGTATAGTAGCAATCGCCAACTACAGTTGATTGATAGACCACCGAGGAAGTCTGAAGAAGCTTGACACTCGATGAGCGGTACTAGATCTCTTTCTCTGGGGAGATAACATGTATGTCACAAGACATCTACAAAGGTATGTACATGTGTAGACCATTGCAGACTAGATTGGGAGGATTTGGGTATGCGCTCTAGATATAACCTAACTCTTGTGGATTGATGCCTTGCATGATGCAGTATTTACCCAACTTCGGATGCGGGCAAGATGAGGTAAAGATGAGGGCGTCCAGAGTTACGCATGGAAGTGACAACGAACAGTGAGGCATTGGGGATAACATGATTCATAAGAAGTTGCGGATTTGACATCATATCAAGTGATGAAATTTAGTGGTTCTTGGTGTACATTCATTTAAGATTTCGCTATGTTTCGCGATTTGCTCGCTAACTTACCTCACAAGATATGTGAATCTTTACTTACTTTATTCAAGTATGGCGCCAAACTCCATTTCCTGCAGAATTTCAATCTCTTCCCACGACAGCCCCTTTCCAGTCATTGGCCTATAATTCCCCCTTCGCACCATTTTCCACCTCTTCTCCATCCGCACCCTCCCCCTTCAAAACCTTCATGAAGTCCTTTACCAACTTCTCATGACTCTCCTGCAAGGTCGTCTTTATAAATCCCATCAACATTCTACTCGCTCTCACAACCCCCTTCTCCTCGAGCACCAATCGCCCCTCCCCAAGCATTAACGAACTTTCCCCCGGCCCCGCTTCCCTCACAATCCACGTCGTCACACTGTGTACCCCCATTGGCGCATGCGTAACACTAACTAATCCATCTTCGCGATCTTGGAGACTCGATGTATAAGTGATTTTATCGGGGACAAACCGTTTTGCCCAGCCGCCTCGCCATCCTCCTCCATTGTCTCCTTCCACGGCGGACATATCATCTGTTATTTCCCAGATTTCACAGGGACACGAAGTGCTTGGTTGGAGGGATGGGGGCTCGGTTTTGAAGAAATCGACGGCAAGGATATGCGTGGGTGGGAGGAGAGTATGGGCTGTGACTAGGGGGTTCAAGCTTATCATTTTCGAATGATTGTGTAGTAGGGCAAGCACCTGGGTCTTGGGGATATGAGGAGGAATAGGGGTGAGAGTGAGGGTTTGGTGGGTTGTTGTGAGAACTGTTCGGTGATGTTAGTTGATAAGGGGTTTGTGGCGGAAGGGAGAAGTGATACTTACAAGACATTATGCCACACTGAAATGGTATTATATTAGGGTTGGGATTAGTAAATTCAATGGTTTATCGTTCGAGCTGGACTAGAAGCTCAAATGAATTGTGTTGCTATTGAGATGTGGTTGAAATTGACATTTCAGGGTCGATCAAGCTGTTCGTGTTCGCAACGCGGATTGTTTCAAAAGCTAAAGCTAGAGAGGGCCACCTCGCTGACGAGGATGAACCGAGACAGGTTTTGGGAAGAAAGTTTTACTTACAGTATTGGAATGGTTGAATATATTGTGAAAATGATTTACCTCTGATGTTTGACTCTGAAAAGATATTGGAAAAGAGCCATCCGGATATGTTCGTCGTGTTCTAACTCGAGTAATCAATAGCTCTCAGGCATGCTGTTGACTTCATTTTGGAAAAAATTCGTGTACAGAAACTGCACAAACACCTTAAAATTTCGAGCTTTGGAGTCGAGAAGAAGGAAGTAGTCGCGATTTAGAATTCAGAGTTGAATCAGAGTACATACTCTCATTCTTCTTATGGCAGTTAAGAGTCGTGAGATTATATAGGCGACGCTCTACTTTTATAAAAGTAAAAATATCAGTTCCATCTCTTCTTCTCAAGATTCCCAAAATTCATGATAAAGCACGGAGTAATACTTTACCAATGACCGACCATCACGAGTCACGAGACATTGATTCACCCACTTTCCCACTCCCACTTTATCCCCCAGGTGGAGTCCCCACAACATAACACGAGCTTTTTCAGCTTTGCATATTGTTATGGAGCTGAGTATCTGCCAACGACCTGACATGGAAATTCTATGGTAAAAGTTCTACATTGTCTGTGAAGCTCCATTTACATGTAACGTTGCCCCAGTCGCATTTCTTGCACTATCGAGAGAAGCAAGTAATGATCAGCTGCAATGTGCTGTGCTTGAGCCTCGAGTATCACGACTCTCGAGTACTTGCTTAGGACTCAGGAGCTTGACTAGCCAACGATGATCGACGCAAACCTTCCTTCCAACAAATGTACCTGTTGCCGCGGTGCCCCTGTTGTGTACGGGTACAAACCGAACAATCTCCTGATGTAAAAAAGAAAAGAAGAGCATATCTAATATCTCTCTCGTCAAGAGCCACCACTCGATCCACTACTCGGAATCATCTCCGAAGTGAGGGAATCGAGACTTCTTCTACTTGTACGGACGTAACTAGACGAGTAAATTTCGATCATCCTGCTGACAAGAAGGTCGTCCAATTTTTCAAATGAAGCAATCACAGTATCTTAAAGGTACCATAAAACTACAATCAATTACCGTTGCCGCAACCATCTCTCGTATCCACCACGGAATAGACTACCCAAAACAGCACACCTCTGTATTTCTGTCCTCTCACGCCCATACCTCGGCTTTCCTCGAAATTTGCATCATCTCACCGTCTTCAGGATCTTATTCATGATTCGCCGTTTTTCTCCCATTCTTTATATTCAATACCAACCTAGACACTTTAGCGAAACAAAGTACGAGGACCCACCACCCCTTCATTCGACGGAAAAACTTTCTCCAGGAATTTAGAATTTCGAAGAACGGATATCATGACACAACTTACAAGCTTTATTATTACTTGTTGACCTGGATTGAATCGTTAGATCTGAAAATTCTCTAGGCCTCCGGGTATGGCTTGTGAGGCTTTAAGTTAAACGCCAGGAATAATAAGCCACTGCCGTCATTAAGTGTTTTGATGGAGATCTTTGGGATTCTTGTAATGCTCGTTTCCCTATGGTCTTATGTCTCTCACTACTCCCCCGAAAAGGTAGAACATATAGGCTATAAGCATGATACCAATAGAAAATCTACAACTGTTCCGGAAAAGAACTTTACAGAAACGACATAGTTGTTTCGGGCCATGTGTTCGGGTAGAGTAGCTCGAATACCAAGTAAACAACTGACAAGCTTTAAAAACTAGTCTTCCCCGAATCCCCAATCTCTCCATAAAAATGGAAGGATCCACCAACATAATTTTCGGACCAATTTTTCAAAACAACAAAATCAGTCGACAAGTTGGCGCGCAGATGAGATACTCTGACAAGCGCCGATCAGAGTCCACTCTAGGTGGAAGGTGTTGTATTGCTTATGCACTCCCATGCCTAGAGATCGTCGTTCATACCGCATACCTCGTGTGAGACCGATGGGGCCCTGGAAAGGCGTTATGCCTGCATCCCATTTGATGATACCCAAAGGAATCTTACTGATGATCAGTACCATTGTCGTCAATCTTGAAGACGGCAAGCTTCACTCTTCGAATCATGTCAAGTTTATATAATTGAGAAATAATGGTAGCAAGTGATAGCTCGATCAGCTGTCAAATGGCGGGGAAAGAACAACCCCAAAGTCTTTCCAACCCATCAAACCCATTTGGCAAGGACATTCCCCGGGATGATTGACATTCAAAGGTAAAACTTGGGAGGATCCATAACTAGAATTCGGCCCTTCTCTTTCAATCCACTTGCTATATCTCCAGATTCCATTATTCCAACAGTTTTCGTGCTCCATTATTACCCCAACCCTACACTTTCTTTTTCTATATAAGTCTTTGTGTCGATCACCAAGACACTCCCTTTTCCTTTCTTCCCTATTAATTTCTGTTCTGCCTTGAAGAAGGTCGACTTCTATTTCACAGTGTACTACACCTCTGCTGTCAACACAAGAACAGGTTTAGTTACCTGATCACCAATTTACAAGATGATCATCGGTAACGTCTACTTCATCGCGGCGGTGGCCGTGGTGGGTGGTGCTCTATTCGGTTTTGATATCTCGTCTATGTCGGCTATCATCTCAACTGAGGCATATTTGTGCTACTTTGATCAAGGAGGAATCGTTAATGGAAAATGTACTGGTCCATCCCCAGATGTTCAAGGTATGAAAAGATCCCAATTATTGCCATGACAATGAAGACTAATTTGATACAGGTGGTATCACCGCTTCTATGCCCGCTGGAAGTTGGCTTGGAGCTTTATTGTCCGGTTATATCTCAGATATGCTTGGTAGAAAGAGATCCATTCAAATTGGTTCTGTCATCTGGTAAATATTCCTAATTCTTACATCTTACATGAATAGCTTGCCTAACAAGCATCCGCAGGATTCTTGGCTCAATCATCGTCTGCGCTGCCCAAAACATTCCTATGCTTATCGTCGGACGTATCATCAACGGTATCTCGGTTGGAATCTGCTCCGCTCAAGTTCCCGTCTATATCACCGAGATTGCACCACCATCTAAGCGTGGAAGACTCGTCGGTTGCCAACAATGGGCTATCACTTGGGGTATTCTCATCATGTTCTACATTTGCTACGGATGCTCCTTCCTCAAAGGAAACGCTGCTTTCCGTATCCCATGGGGTCTTCAAATGATTCCAGCTGTCTTCCTTTTCTTCGCTCTTTTCTTCTTGCCAGAATCCCCACGTTGGCTCGCTAGAAAAGACAGATGGGAAGAAGCTCACCAAGTTTTGTCTCTTGTCCATGGACATGGTGACGCCAACTCCCCCTTCGTCGCTAAGGAATTGGCCGAAATTAGAGAAGTCGTTGAGTTCGAGAGAGCCAACGCTGACGTTACTTATATGGAGTTGTTCAAGCCCGATATGATCAACCGAACACACATTGGTATCTTTACTCAAATCTGGTCTCAACTTACCGGCATGAACGTCATGATGTACTACATTACTTACATTTTTACCATGGCTGGTTTGGGTAGCAACGTTCTCTTGCCATCCTCGATTCAATTCATCATCAATGTCGTCATGACAATTCCTGGATTGATCTGGGTTGACAAATTAGGTCGTCGTCCTGTCCTTTTGTTCGGATCCATCTTGATGATGATTTGGCTTTTCATCAACGCTGGTCTCTTGGCTACTTACGGAACCGTTCCATACGAGGGACAATTCGCCAGTGCCGCTGAATCCATCTCTATTACCGGAGCACCATCCAAGGCTGTCATTGCTTGCACATACCTTTTCGTCGCATCATATGCACCAACATGGGGTCCAGTCTCCTGGATTTATCCACCTGAGCTTTACCCTCTCCGTATTCGTGGAAAGGCTGTCGCTCTTTCTACTTCTGCTAACTGGGCTTTCAACTTCGCTCTTGCATACTTCGTCCCACCTGCCTTTGCCAACATTAGATGGAAGGTTTATATTGTTTTTGGAATCTTCTGTGTTGCTATGACCCTTCATGTTTTCTTCGTCTTCCCAGAAACTAGTCAGAAGCCTCTTGAGGAGGTCGAGGAGATCTTCGATTACTCAAAGCCTGGAAGCATCAGGTTCTTGGGTACTCCAGCCTGGAAGACAGGTGTCGATAAGAGAGCAGGCCGTTTGGAGAGAGGAGAGTTTGATGCCGAGGATAAACTCGGTCCTACTGTTGCTCATCATGACGGTGTTACAGCTGTTGATGAGACTTCCAAGTCTGAGCTGTAGACTGGACTTGAATAGAACGGAATAGAATAGGTGGATGAAACAAATGGAAGAGAGGGCGAGTTTGGAGGTGCTAGCCGAAATAAGGCATGATTTAATGATGGTGTAAAATTCATAAATGGATGTATGGGCATCGGTGGATCCGCCACCTTTGCTTGCTAATTGAGAATCACGTGGATTGATGGATGTATGAAAATGAAAAGACGGATGTTAATGATGGGATTTTATGTAAAGGAAAAGATGAATAGGAGGATCATTGATACCCAGATATATATGAATATAAATATCAGAAGATTTTTCTTGATACTTTTTGATGTTCTTTGGTGCAATTGTAGATATTTGATGAGAGTGAATGAATTTAGCTGCCAGATGTTTAGATTGAGTTTGGCAGAGGAGGATTGAAGTCAGAAAGGAGAAATAGATCAAGCTGGGTAGTGGTGAATGTAGTGAATCCATTCTTCTATTGTTTCTATTCTTTCCTTGAAAGAGATGAGTGAACGAAGGATATCACCCAGTCTAGATTCTTTCCAAGGAATGAACTTAAGTAGCTCGCGTAGCTACCTCTATAAAGTACATCTAGCATATAACGAACACATCCATCGAGAACTCAACTAATTGCACTTAACTTGATTAGAATTGGGATGAGAAAGAAGGATATCAGAAAGAAGAATGTGAGAAAGCAAAAGAAAGACAACGGTATCATGGCGATTTTCCTACAAGATTTTGAATATAGAAATGGAATGGAGAGGGTGTTCATTTCTGTTTTACCTTTCGTGTTCGAGTTCGGGTTTGGGTTGAAGATGGAGAATTATTCTAGCTAGCTGGACTATGGAAGATCTGGATGAGTTGAGGAAGTAGGTTTATGGGGTTGAATTGATTAATGGGGGTTTGCATGGTGAGAAATTGGGGATAGGTACGGATGGATTTGGATGTTGGATGTTGGATGTAAGAAGCGGGGATGTGTTTCTATGAGAGACATATCTAGGACTGTGTGAATGAGTCGGTTTATTTGGTTAATTGGGTTCTGAGGAGTGATGTTTTTTAGTTTGGAAATAGGTTAGTGAGTGTATCCATGTGATATTGAGGATTTGAAGGTATTGTGTGGAAAGTATTTCTTGACGTTTGAGCTGTTTTTTCAGTGCTTCTTGCCTATTGTTCATATCCTCCCGATATGGTTGAAATGATTCACCATCCTACATGTACACTAATCCAGCATTGGTTATTAATAAGAGATGTATCTTCTCCTGATTCCATAGTCTTTACACGATCAATAGTCATTACAATGCAAGCCTCTGTATACCTACAATAAATATCAGAAATCGGATTCTAAGCAAAGACTCGGCTAATATAACATGAGTAAAATCACGAATGTGTTCATGAAAAAGCTTAAATTTACTATTTTAGAATCTTGACTTCGGCAGATATCGATATGGATATTCATCAAATACAATGGTTTACTATATCAAAATCGCTTAGGGTGTGTTCGAATCATTTACTTCTATTGCTGAAGAAGTGATTGAGATGGTGAAGATATGAGATATTGGAGCTTATGTGAATTAAGGTATATTTGGGTGAAGCCAATATGTTTGGAGTAACGCTGAGATGTGTAGGATTGGGCTGGAAATTGAAGGTGTCGATTTTTTCCAAATATATTGGTTAATAACACCTAAAAATTGTTATTGATGGTTGTATGGAATAAAGTGTAATCATTTGCTATTCTAGTATATTAGACAAAAAGTTTTATTAGACCCAATAGCATATTCAATACATGCATGTATTGAATTGAGTTAATGTATATTCCCTTCAGTATTGCATTCGGGTAAACACAACATTAGATCTCCTATCTTCAATGTATCGAATCTACCCGATCAAAAAACTCGATCCGAACGTACCCTCGTTAAATTGATCATATCTGGTGGGCTATGCGATTGACTCACAGTAACTTACCTAAAGATTCTATGAACATCTGCTACTCCTTGTTGATGAACACTTACATCTTACCCAAACCAAGAAAGCTGGTATGGGAAATACTGACCAACTGCGATTTGAGGAACATTCCCACCTTCGGAACCTTAGCAAGATCACAAGGCCAGATTGTAGTCTCATACCCGAAAATTTTCAATTTGCGAAGCTAGTTATAGCATCTAGTGAATGAATGTTGCACATCTGATATGCCCTTCAAGTAATGAGCGTCGAAAACTCAAGATTTGACTGGAAAGAGCTAGCTACTTAGATATCATATGAACAGTACATGATTTAGAACGTATATACTCCGATAATTTCCGATACCTAGAGTTCAGATGGGATCACTTGTATGGTTGTTAATATGATTGTGGGCAGCTAAGGACAAACTGTCGATGGACATGATCTGGACTACGAATCGACAGTATGGTTATCCCACAACTCTTCAATAAGTTTGAGATGATTCATTCGTTTTGAACACTATAATGCTTGCAGAAATCGGGAGCTTGTATCCAGTCTATCGGTTCGGATTTTGAATCTCCTCAATCGTCAAACATACTTGGACAGAATTGCTTTACCCTTTACAAACAAACGCCTTCAGTATCCGATTGCACCGATCGTCTTTTTCACGCAGATAAAACATGAAAACTCCTAGTTAAAGTCGCTCCATCTATCGTTTCCCATCTAGACTACTACAAAGCCAAGAAAAGAATTTTCAAATGTTGAAACGTTAATACCACGTCATTCATAAGATTACATTCCACATGTGTCCAATTGCAGGTAGAAAATTGTCCTCAATGAGGACAACCAGGACGAAACTTTTCGAGGTAGAAGATTAGTTCCAGACTAGCTCGATACTAAAATTCAGAATGCTGTGAATGCTAACCATTTTGGGTTACAAAGATCTACAAAGCTACCCGATGTGTACCCCTAAGTCTCGCTTAGCGTCTTGTAGTCTTCTCCCCCGCGTTCTTCATGACAGCAGTTCAAAAAAAATTCAGTGGAAAACTAGACCACAATTTAGGCACATAAATTCTGATATTTCCTCAACTCATGGATTCTTTTTTCTTTCCAGACATATCACATTTCACATAGGATGACTTTAGAACATAACTTCAAGCTTCTCTTCTCAATCTATTTGACCAAGATCCCTCCAAGACATTTATACTTTGAAGATTATCTTCGCCGCCTTATTATTCTCAATCAACTTTATTGAGAACCTCCCCTTTCAAACGCCACACAGAAATCATGCCGCATAAGAACAGGAAAAACAGAAACCAGAAAATTAAAAACCAGAAAAACTACAAAATGTCGGTCAAATCGGATACCACCACCTTGTCCATAGAAATGGCAAATCTTTCGATATCACCAAGTATTCAACCAACCCCCGAAAGCACCAAACAAGGTGTCAACGATTCCGAACCCGTCATCGACGACTGTCCTATCTGTTGCGATAAAATGGACGAACCGGAAAATAACATACGAATGGAACATTGTTGCAAACGGACTTTCCATGGGGCATGTCTTCGATTGTGGGCAAATGAACAAACATCGATGTATCGAGAAGGCACTTGCCCAATGTGTCGAGGTGAATGGCCAGTCGAATTCGTCGAACAGCTATTTGAAGGATACGAAGAAGAACATGTGCAGTATGAGTGTTCATGTAACGAGGATTCTTACATGGGCTTGCTCGCTCCAAATATTTTGCAGGGGTTGTCTGAAGAGCAGAAGAGTAGCCTTCGTGAACTCATCGAGATGATCGAGTGGCAGTACCAGCATAACGAGGGCTATCCGGATCCAACGCAACGCCTCCTCATTGTCTTCATGATGTGCCCCGAAGACCCTCTGGACATTGATCCTGAAGAATCATCCGCGGATCGCCAGTACGAAGTAATGAAAATATTGTTGGAGTGGGCTTTAGACCACCTTGAAGAATATGTAGCTCCGACTTCACATTCGAACTTCGGATTGTTTCCTCGCCCGTCCAATTACGACCACTTTGGCCCTGAGCCCTATCTCGTCGAGCTCTCCGGGCCCTAGTCCCAACGCTGATATTTGAACCAGTTAAATTGTCCATGGGGAGAGCAACTCAGATGACGATGGTTGATGAGGTTGGAATTACTACATAACTGTGTTGTAATATGTCAAGCGCTTGTTATTTTGTGTATACAGTCGCTGCGCACAGCTGTTTGTCGATTCCAAAAATCACACCAAAAACAGTCATTTTGTCCTATTTATAATTATAAAAAATAAATATTCAAAATCATTAAAATCAATTAAAATTCTAGATATAGATTTATTAAATATTCAGAAATCCAGAACTCAATTTTTTAGAATTTTAAAATATAAGAATATTATTATATATAAGATTGAATTAACATAAAAAGAAAAGTTCTTAATTTTCGCTTATTTTATTAGTAAATTTCAATATTTTGGATTTACACTAACTTTCTATATAGATTTTATAATGAATAAAGATCCTAAAAATAAATGATCTTATTTTTATTAAAATTTAATTAAAAATAAAGAGACTAATATGAAATTTATTATATATAAACTATATTATTATTGAAAAATAAGTTAATGATTTGTATAACTTTTGGTGTGATTTCGGTGTTCGGCAAATAGTTGTGCTTTAGTACTGTATATCGAATTTGGTATATGGAGTATGTGCGTTGGATACAGGATTTAGAATTTGACAAAATTGAGCGAGGTGTCAAGTATGGAATCATTCTTTGTGTTGGCCATTGAATACGAAGAACTTCCAGTTGATTAGTAGAGTGATTGGGCACGAATGGCATAGACAAAACAACAAAATAGCTCAAGGAAACCTTCCTACCTTACAAAGGAAAGTGCACCTTTGATATTCATAGAGCTAGCTCTTAAAATATCATCATTAGAACGTGACTACCACATCAGAGTTTATGTGCAATGGAATATAGATTCTATGGACATTTTCCTTGCATGGGCAAGAACCTCAATGAAATTCAACCAATAGCTCACTCGAAGTTGATATAAACATCTCACGAATTTCAGTACTTCACATTGCTTTTAAAATGGCACTTTTGGCAAGCACAAGTTTCCTAGGCGAATCATTGTTTTATTCTATGTCTTGATAATATGTGGCATGTTTGAAGGAATCAGAAGGGCAAAAAGATTTGGGCTATACTCCTGTTATTAGAGGAACGTAGGAGCAGAATTGTGATTTCGGCCAGACATGTATGTAGACGGACCTTTCGTCCTCGGTAGATGGATGAGAATCGTTGATACCCCAAAAATGAGGATATATGAGGATTTTGGGGCCGCGTTCATGATCGTAGATGGAGACAGAATTGTGGATTCGACCAGGCGGGTTCGATTTGGGCCATGCGTATTAGCCTATCGAGTCCTCACTCACTAAATTGGGGCCAATAAAAGGCCACTTGACCTTCCACCCTACCTAGAATCTCCTATGTTTATGATATAATCATTCACTCAGTTCAAAAAGCACAATCCGAGTAATCCATAATATCTCAAGGAAAACGACCTGATATATTCCGAGAAAGCTACTTCCTAGCCGAAGCCAAATGAACACGAGCTCAAATGACCCTAGGAAAAAAAACCATCTCCATTCCAGATCAATGCAGTTGGAAAGGTGTCATAACCTTGAGAACAATCCATCGCAGAGCTGCCTCAGCACACGAGTGTCCATAAGCGTTCCTCCCTTCATTTGAAAATGCCCTCTAAAGTCTGACCATAAATGTCCTCTTTCGTATCCTTTTTCCTGCAAAAGCCCAGAACTCCATGCCATGTTAATTTGATTCTCTCCACAAACCCATCGTGGTCGTATCGTTCCGTTTTCGATGAGTAAATTTTCAAGGTGTGGTGAATTTAACGGTGCTGCAAGTTTTGTTAGTGGTCATTCCATCCAGTTTTGATGATCGAAGGATTTGTTGGTGTAAAGTGAGATGGTGCGTAGATTCTTCAGCGAGCGTACCTTGACGAATCCAATATCGGCTGCCTTCTCTCTGAAGCATTGTCTGCAGATGTTAAGACCGTACTTGCGGATCAAACCGGCCTTGTGGGTGCAAACGCGACTGTTAAGTATGTTAGAAATGAATTTACTCAATTCAGATCATTGGTGATCCTTGACGAAATCGCAAAATGCGATTGATTCTCCACATACCATTCGCGGGATCCCTTTCCGTAGGTACGGGGTCTGGACATCCAAACTGATTCGTGAGACATGTTGTCTGATTTTGGCGAGGACTTTTGTCGGCGGTGTTGGAGTGCTTGGAGTTTGCGAGAATCGTTGTTGTCGTAGAGTTCGTAATGTTCAAATTGACTGGAAGGGCTTGTTGAACTCTAAGCGAAATTTCGCACAAATGATGTTTTTAGTCTGGAGCCCGAAATTTAAGGCATGAGTCGAGAGCCACGGAATAAATAAATTCCGAAGTAGAGTTCCGCTTACTTTGTGTAGCCTTGCAGATAAGACGGACAAACAGCCTTGCATGAAGTTATAGCCTTGTATTGACTTATCCCTTATCATCGAGTAGTGAGGAGAGAGTAAACAAAACAATTGCAATAACAGACCTTCCATTTACTATTTCACTTCACTCTACAAAATTCAAAAATGGTAGGAATCCATAGAAAATCACCCATGATCGACTCTTTTATATTCAAAATATCACTTCTTACTAACAATGATACAGTCCAAAGATTCAAATCACACCTATGTCCATTTCACACTATCCCGCACAGCGGATCTTTTCGAAGACTTCTGCAAAGACAAACTCCCCGACGATGATATCTACGTACCACCACACAATCAACCAGTAAACCCCGAAGACGAAGACGATGTTGTTCCAGATCAACATGCAGCATTTGGGATTCAGAGGGCGACACAAAAGACAAAAGAGCCAGCTTGGAAAGATTTAGGATTAGCAGAATTGATGAGGAAAGGTCCAGGTGGTAAAAGTGGAAGTGAAGGAGGAAACTACAAGGGCATAAGAAGTCTTCCAAGGTGAACAAATGTGAAGGGATTGGGACTTAAATGGGCGTACAATCTAATGGGAACTAATGTCGGACTTTGGCACTCCACGATTGTTTGAGAGAGTAAGGTTGAAGGGATTCTAGGGACTGAGAGCGATATATTACTGGCACAGAGATTGGACTGGCATGTTCAACTTAAAGGATATCATCAAATTGTGTCAATACCCAGAGAGAAATCCCATGAACTTTATATCGTTCATAAAGAGGCCTAAACAAGAAGCATTGGGATGCTGGTGACTCTGGTGTCGCATGATTCTGCTTCTAGAGATACAGGCGTAAGGAAGACGGCATAGAGACGCTCTAAACGACTCTTCGATTTGATTAATCTGCTCATCTAGTGCCAATTGGTGGTTATAAGTCTCTGTTTTATCATCTGTGCCCTACTCTCTGGGGTTGGGACAGAGGTTTGTGGAATGGACCTTGACAGACGCCTGCCCAAATCACATCGTCCTTTCGAGTCATAAATATTGGAGACCGAGCCATGTGATATGAAGGCACGATTGCAATCTTGCTTTGTGAACAAGCAGAGGAAGTGCAATTTAGTTCCGAACTGAAAAGCAATGTGTTGGTAGAAAAGTCAAATAGATGGATGGTGACAAGCATATGTGCTCTTCCATGTCGTATCTAGTCGAGTAAGACGACTGCGGGTCAGAAGATAGACCCAAATATTAATCATAAACTCCATCCCAATGATACTCCTTTACGCCCAGCGTATGACCGTGGATACGTTGCAAGGTCCAAATGACATAATTTCACTTCTCTTCAACCTAACTCTTCCCCAAAAATGCCTCTCTTTCTACCACCTCTTCCTGAAACTTGACCAAAAACACCGTCTTTCCCGGCCACAACTCTCCTTCCTCTCCCCTTCCCACACTGTGCGCCGTAACCCTAGCCGGAAACCCTGCGCCATCACAAACACCCTCAATAATACCCGCGACAAACGCCGCACAATTCAATTGATTCATCTCTTTAGGCACACTAATATATTGATTGACAAGAGGTTCATTATCGGATATCATGTATTCCTCAGGCGTATCAGGGTTTGAAGATTTCTCGAGTGCATCTGCAGGGCGGGAAAAGAGGTGACGCCAGAGAACAGTGGTTATGAATTGGAGAAGGGCGATGATATTAAGGGGTCGGGTTTGGGTACGTGGTGGCTCGCGGTAGAGCAGGAGATCGAGGAGCTTGAGGCCGATGGGGTGGCCTTGAACATTTAGTCTAGTGTTTTGATTAGAGCGGTACTTTTTGGTAATGCAGGTCGTTTGTTTAAACTCGACATGTAGTGAAGGAAATCTTACCGCTTCTCGAGATCTTGAATACCGGTAACCCGTCGTTGTGCATAACTAACCATCTCCCCGAATAGATATGCAAAGCTGGCTTGACTTAGCTCCTGCGTCTTACTGCGATTCAATGGTCTATGGTATATCGTTTTGCCGGTGGAAGGATATCGCAGCCCTGACTGGGAGCCTCGTTGAGTATGAGAAACTTGGCCGGTCAACGGCGGTTTCACGGGTTGGGAAGACATTTAATTGATTAATTGTTGGTCGCGCGTAGTTGGATGTACTATTTGATATGACGTTGTAAGATAATTACGAACTTTGTGATTTGCGTGAAGTTGGATGTAGGTATGATTTGGGGGGTTGTCGCAAGGCTGCTGAAATTGAGGGCGAGGTCGATTGCCAAGCGAGGGGGTAGCATCATTGTCCAAGTTCTTCAGAAACATTGTCTGATAGCACATAAAAAATTCAGATGTCGTTAGAATTATTATTTGGTTCATTTATTAATATCTAGTCTATTCTATCCTATTGCAAACAAATCATTTGTACAGTCTTTCCTATTGACTTCATGCCGCATCATTCTTCTCAGATTTTCCGTTGATGTCTCCTGATATTTCAGACAATGTCCCGAGTGTTTTCGGTTCAACGGCATGGCCATTTGATGGCATTTCCTCAGTGGTACCACCGCTGATGCTAGGGACATTTGCACCCTTCAAATAAACTTCACTTTCTCCAATATGCTTCCCCGCCTTGACCCAACGCTCAAAAGCACTCTGTTGACGTCCCTCACATTGTTTGATTAACTCCGGCCAATAGGTTGCGTGATCATACTCGAATGCAAGCTCTCCATCAAACTCAGCCCAGAGTTGTTGAGGAGGTACGTGTTGTTTCATATCATCATTGAACTTCAACTTTGCTTTAGTCAAGGGATCAATGAATGGGGTGATGAGTTTGAAAAAGCCGTTCACCATCCAAGGAACTTATAAGGAATTAGCAAGGAATTTGTCCGTCAATAAGGAGACTTACCGTTGATAATCAAAGCTCTCCCAAGTCGTTCAGGGTAATGAGTTTGAAGAATGTTCAAGACTTCTCTAGCTTGCCCAATTCCAGGCGCTGTGTTCGATCTGCTCTTACTGGACTTGAAGTTGATCAACAATGCGAGCGTGGACTGGCCTGGAATCGTCAAGTCGATACATCGCTCGAGCATGAATACCAAATGTTGTACTTGCTTGGGATTTGGTTCCGTATTTTGTCTTCCAGGATTCAAGTATTGACATGGACGCCCTTCGTTATCATAACCCAAGATGAACTGCTTGCCGGTTTCGTTCTCGATGGAAAGGTCATCGCCACTAAGATCGCTCACACCATACTCCCGCCTCCAAGTCAACGTCCCTAATAGTCGTTTTGGTGCTTCCGTAGCGGACCATTTTGTTGCTCGCAAGTATCGGCATAAACATTCTCTTGTTAACCATAACTTTTCACTTTCTGTGATAGGCCCCCCTTTTGAATCTTTAGCTGGAATTTCTGTCCATGACTTGACAGTTTCTAACAGCGCATCGTAGTTCCTCTGTTGTTCTTCAGTGAGTTCTGGCGAAGGTGGAGGCTTCGAAGACTCGAGAGGGTTGAGAAATGGTGGCTTAAGAGGACTTGGTCCTTTTCCCTCAATTGAAGCTGAAGATGTCTGCCCATTAGTAGGACCTCCTAGATTAACACCGGCCATCTCTTTTTCGATGCCTGCGACTTCCATTTGCTTCTCTGTTGACATTTTAAATAGTAGAATAGATGTTTGATTGCAAAATGGTATACCCCGAATTCAATCACAGTCAACTCTCGAAGACAAGAAGACACAGAATCCAAGGGGTAATTAGTAGCTTATGTCCTGACACCGACTTCTTGCAATCTAAAAATGTGGTGCTAGCTCAGCCTTATGAGTGTTCCATTGGTGAATTCTTATTTTGTTACCACTTCTCAATTGAGTGTACCTACTGTTTTGAAACAATTGCCAAGAGAGATAGGTTGTAATTGCCGGAGAAATTATGACAGAAACACATTCTGTTACGAGTATAATCCATTAAGTTGAGCTTTTGAAAAAGGGTTTGTTGAATCATTTGATGAATTGTGGCTCGTTCGTGGCGCAAACTCGTGAAAATCAATTTAGTTTTATAGTATTAAAGCGCGTCAAAACGCGTCTCCCCAAATATCTCTTCCAAAATCAAACCTGACCGAACTCAACAAAATCAACGATTTTTCTAGACAACAGCCTCAAAATGTCGGAAAACGATAGCGAGCTGAATGACTTGTTTTCATCTGCGACTGCTTCAAGTGGACCCTTGAGCCAGATATACTCACAGAATTGCATTCAATTATGCGACTGCATTCAATACCCCCGCAAGAGCTTTTCTACAAATGGGAATCATATAGCATTAAGATGGGACAGGATGATATGAAATTGGATATCGATACTGTTAGAGCGCTCAAGCAAAGTGTGCAAGACGGGTTGGAAAAGGAGAATCGAAAAACTAAGGCTCAAACGTCAAATAAAAGAGTGGGAGCTACGCCTCGAAATGCAGGAAACAGTAATGATGTTTTTGGAATGTGAGCAGGTTCTTGAATTATCAAATTGATCTTTACTCATAGTAACGTAGGTTAGATATCGCGCCAAATACCCCCGAAGTGGGATGAGTTCGCGGCCGAAACGCAAAATAGAGACACCTTCTATGTCAAGAGTGAAAGCAGAACCGGCTAGTAGTCCCCCCGACTTCAGGACATCGAAAACCCTGAGGGAGAATGATACTGGTGGTGAATCTGGAGTCGGCTCTTCATATGCCCCGTATGGTATCACGATCTTCTGAAATCGCCAAATACTGACAGAACATAGAACTTCATTCAACGATAGAAGGTTCGCCGGCCAAACTGTAGAAGTTCTGAATGACCACCTCGAGCTACCAGAGCCTCCAATTGCTCCTTATCCAGAATCAAGAATCAAACTTACAGCCAACTCAGATATGAAGAAATTATCTTACAAGACAATGGCCATGAAATCATCAGAAGCGTCAGAAATATTGGATGACCGTATAGACGAGTTCATGCTTCTCATGCAAGCACATCATAAGCTAGATGACTCAGACTTCGGTAGTGCAGCAAGTCAAAGTACGAATGAGATAGTATCTGTTGGGAGGATTGCATGCGACTCTGCCGAAGGAAAGCTTAATCCATCTTCAATCGTACTTGAAACCTCGCGAAGGATGGGTGCTGGATTACGAATACCACTCAAAGTTGATAAGATGAGTGGATTCCAATTCTTCCCTGGGCAGATAGTTGCACTGAAGGGAATAAATGCTTCTGGAGAAGATTTTACAGTGAGCGAGATTCTTGAGCCACCTCTTCTAGGCGTTGCTGCATCCACGCCTGCTGGCCTTGATGAACATGTTCAAAGACTTCGAGGAGGTCCAGATGCAATGGATGAAGACTCTGACCCTGCACCTCTAAACATTATTATTGGAAGTGGTCCCTTTACAGCAGATGACAATCTAGACTTCGAACCTCTACATGCAATTTGTAGCCAAGCAGCGGATACCTACGCTGATGTACTAATTTTGACTGGGCCATTTCTTGATATCGATCATCCTTTAATTGCAAGTGGAGATTTTGATCTCCCTGAGGAAGCTCTAGCTGATCCGGACGCCGCCACCATGTCGGCCATCTTCAAACATCTTATTACTCCAGCTTTTACCCAACTCACTTCCACTCACCCCCGAATTACTATACTCCTTATTCCTTCAGTCAAAGATGCTATCGATAAACATGCTGCCTGGCCTCAAGAACCCTTTTCAAAAAAAGACGTTGGACTTCCCAAAGCTGTTCGTGTCATCGGTAATCCCATGACTATTGCCCTGAACGAAATCGTCATGGGTATCTCCTCCCAAGATATCTTGTATGAACTGCGGCATGAAGAAATCATTGGCGGGAAGCCACAGGATCCTACCTTGCTCGCTCGATTACCCAAGTATTTAATTGAGCAACGTCATTTTTTCCCCCTATTTCCGCCGGTCCAGAGAACTCAATTGCCGAAAACTGGGACGGAGGATGGGGTTCCCGTGGGAGCCATGCTAGATACGAGTTTCTTAAAGTTGGGGGAGATGATCAATGTGAGGCCGGATATGTTGGTGGTCCCAAGTTCACTACCCCCTTTGCCAAGGTATGTGATCTTTACAAATCCCTTGTTTAGATTAATCAAGGACGTTCATTATGAAACAAAATTACTAAGATTGAGACATGTAGGTTGTAGAAAGTGTGCTAGTTATCAACCCAGGATATTTATCCAAAAGAAGAGGAGCGGGGACATATGCGAAGTTGACAGTATACCCAGCATCGATGACGCAGCAAGAGAGAACGCAGGGAACTATGATCGGTCATAAGTTGTTTGAGCGGGCTCGAGTAGATATTATACGGATATGATAATAGAACTTCTAAAGAGCTAAGTCATTAGGGGTAGAAGATATCTAGCTGAAAGCTCTTGTCCCGAAGCTCATTAATATTCTAGAGGTCGCGAGGTATCCACTACCCATCATTCAGCAGGAGAAACATGGATTTATAACGATGCCTATCGTGACGACTCTGACCCCATTAAGACCATCTAGCCTCTTACGTAGTACATAGTAGCTGAGAAATAAAAGAGTCTAATATCTCAATTGAATCAAATTCAGGGTCTTCAAGTGGCATCACGACCCCTGACTTCATTTACCAGAGCCGAAATCTGATGCCCCGCGTTTCGCTTACTAAGGTTGATCCGCACCACACTTTTTTTTGCAGGGATAAAATAACGCTACTGTAATCTTTAGCTCTTCAGCCTTTCGAACAATATTAATATCAGTACATACAACTCGAATCATCAAACAAAAACAGTGAATTATTTCGATCCTCCAGGTTCAAACCCATTTTCAACTATACCGTCCCAAAACATACTCAGAATAAACCATTATTGAAGACTTCATTCCTCTCCAGCTTGACGATCTACGAATTCGCAAGAAAGTGACTCATTTTCGGATTAACTGCGACCACCTTCAAACCCCCACCATCTCAAACTACGAAATATCGTCGCAACAGATCAAAACGCAGAAAATTAAAGACTATAGCAACGGAGTTGTTTCGCGTTGGTCTTAGGCCTAGTCTTTGGTTTATAAGCTCAAGTGCTCCATTTTTTATATCAAGGACCGCAATGTCTGCCGAAGACTCACCTACGGCCACAAGCCCCGCAAATGCTGTCAAATCGAAGGCAGGAAGTACTGAATCTACACCTTCTTCAGCGCAAGGAAAATCTCCCAGTGCGAAATCAGGAAATGCAAAGGAAAATGCGAAACCTACACCCGATGGAGGAAAGTTATCAGCTGCAGAACTGAAAAAGAAGGCAAAGGAAGAGAAGGCCGCACGCAGAGCTGCAGCAGTACAGAGCAAAGCAACGACTGAAAATCCGACTCCTGCCGCAGCTGCACCAGGACAGAAAAGTGAGTCCGCGAAAGGAGGAAAAACCCAGCCTAAAAAAGGCGCAGAAGTACGAAATTTGCCAGTTAGAGGAGGGCCGACGAAAATCACTCCAGTTGTAGAAGTCCCAAAGGTAGAAGATAAGACCGTTGATCTCTTCAGACATTTATATAAGCCACGGACAACTACAATTGCTGAGGCAAACAAAGATGTACACCCCGCAGTGCTTGCTCTTGGGCTGCAAATGAGCAATTACACAATATGCGGCAGTTGCGCAAGACTTGTGGCAACACTGCAAGCATTTAAAAGAGTAAGTTTAATTTTGGGGATTCACTTCATCTATGCATTTATTCTCTCCTCCCCTCTCCCTCTTCAAATGACCGTGATCTCATTATAACTTTCTTACATTTTTCCAGGTTGTCGAATCTTACAAAACCCCTGTAGGGGCAAGTCTCACACGTCATTTCATACCACATGTGCTCTCTCCTCAAATTGAATACTTAGCTTCTTGTCGACCTCTTTCGGTATCCATGGGTAATGCTATTCGTCATCTTAAGCTGGAAATATCAAAAACGGACCCAGATCTGTCGGAAGCCGATGCGAAGGAGAGCGTTTGCGATGCCATCGATGTCTTTATGCGCGAGAGAATCACTTTTGCTGATAAAGTTATTGCCGATACTACTGCTGAGAAGATTAGAGATGGTGATGTCATATTGACTTACGGCAAGAGCAGTCTGGTGCAAAAAGCGTTAGTGAGAGCCCACGAGATGGGCAAGAAGTTTAGAGTCATTGTGGTTGACTCGAGACCTCTACATGAGGGAAAGCATTTAGCATCGGCACTAGTCAGTCTAGGTATCGAAGTCAAGTACTGTTTGATTCATGGACTAAGTCATAACATCCAAGATGTAACAAAAGTTCTATTAGGTGCTCACGCAATGATGAATAATGGCCGATTATATTCAAGGATAGGAACAGCTTTGGTTGCCATGGAAGCTTCATCCGCTGACAAGCCAGTCATCGTTCTTTGCGAGACCATCAAATTCACTGATCGAGTAGCTTTGGACTCAATTGTTCTTAATGAGATTGCACCAGCCAACGAGCTCGTGATTGCTGGAGGACCATTAGAGAATTGGATGGATGTTAAGAAACTCCAACTTTGCAACCCTATGTATGATGTTACTCCGGCCGAGTATATTCAGATGGTTGTTACGGAGTCAGGAAGTATACCTACAACTTCTGTACCGGTTCTTCATAGATTAGTAAATGAAGCTCAATAGAGCGTTGCGATATCTAGAGAGCTCAAAGAGAAGCATAAGTTCATTGAGCAGGTTTTGGATGGCGTTCAAAAAGAATCTTGATGATATCAAAAGAATCACATCTGATGTATGATAGTGTAATGGTTGGATAAAATGAAATGCAATGTCCAGACTTCCTTACTTCAAATCCATGTGAACATCTACGCCAAATTGAGACATCCCTGATGTTTGTCTTCATGTTGAGGTATTTGAGCAATTTCTTTCTCATTGGCCAATTGCCCGCAAAACTTTGTACAATTTCCATAACTCTTCTTGGTTTCTTGTCATCCCCTGCTCATTCTGATTCAGAAGCCCCCGGTTTTTAATTCCCCAGCGCTCTTCCAATAAATAATTTATGACTCCTCAACAGCTTCCTCCCTCTCCTTCCTCCTCGCTCTCTTCTCCAAAATAGCTGTTCGTCTAGCTCCGAGGATAGCCTGTTGCCGACTCTCAACTCCCTGCATCCAATATCCAAACGAAGCACCGACGCCGCCGAAAACGGGGTAGACCCAGAGAGATTGTCTGTTGAAGAAAGGTCGCATTTCGAGGCCGAGTTGCCAGGCGCGGACAGCGAGGCCTAGTGAGATTGCGTGTTAGTAAAATGAAAGGGGAAGAGGGAAAGATGCGGGGAATTAGCTGGTAAGAGGAGGGGCAGATGGAAGAGGGGAACATACCAAAGCCAGTCCAGAAGAGAACTTTGTGAACCATATTTTTGTTTATGTTATGAGAAGTGAGGTTTGGGTGGATAATTATGGGCTTGACTTTGGCGTGAACTGCACAATCAGAATTGAAGATTTGCAGATGCGTATGATGGGTTGTGTAGTCGCTACTACGGCTTCTACTCCAGGATTCACTCGGATGGTTGTTGAAGGTCACTTTAGATCGCACTAGCGCGATTGGCTGATCGATATGCAACACGTGACTCGCGTCTATTGAATTGAATTCCATGCGCGGACAACTTACCTAGAGATTCCTCGTTCCAACGTTATTTGTTTATCTTTTTCAACTTTTCACAAGGTTGGTAACATCTTTCTACTGCAATATGAAGTAAAGTTCGGGAACGCTTTGAATAATTCAATTCAGCACCACAAGGAAAGAATGGCGACGATGGCATCTACCTACAAGAAAGATGGTGGTCATTCTGGACCTCCACCGCGAAAGAAAGTGAAGACTTCAGAGTTACCACTTGCATCTGCGACTAGAGCGGCCATTGAAGGATTGGCTCATACATACAAGAAGAAGGGTACTTATGACGAGTTGAGAACCAAAATTTGGCAAGAATTGGAGAAAGGTGTATGTATTTCCAAATTATTTCAATGTGCTTTTGCGCCGCGAGATTTCTGGGAAAAGGATTGGGCTCTTTGAAACAATTGTTTGGGTGCTAATTAAGAGTGGTCACTATAGGATTTTGAGGATGAATTTACGAGTTCATTATTGAGTGTTGCGGAAGAGCAATTAGAGAAGGACCCCAGACAGCTACTCCGGTTGGATCGCAGTAAGGCTACATTGCTTATCGAGGGAGCTGTGGATCGCGCGGGTATCTACCAATCTGCTGAGGCGACAATCGATAAATTAATCCAGGCATACATTCCAGAAATTGAAGAAGGGGTTCGCACAATTCGCAAAAGTGACATTGGGGAAGAGGCAGCTGAGAAGGAGTTCTTGAGAGGAGGTAAAACAGATGAGCAGTATGCAGAAGAAGCTGCAAAGAAGAAAGCCGCCAGGGAAAAAGTTAGGGAGGAACTGAGAGAGAAGGAAAAGGCTATTGCGGATGAGAAGAGAAAGCAAGAGAAGTTGAAGAGGAGAGAAGAAGAGAAGAGAATTGAGGCCGATCAGGAGAGAAAGAGAGAGGCTAGGAAGAAGGCTGAGTTGGAAGCGGAAGAAGAGAGGGAGAAAGAACGGGAGAAGGAAGATAAGGAGAGGAGGGAGAGGAGGGAGAGGGATCGCGCTAGGGATCGAGATCGTGATCGAGACCGTGATCGCGAGAGAGAACGGGACCGGGATCGGGATAGAGGAGATAGGGATAGGGGCCGGGATAGGGATAGGGATAGGGACGATCGAAGAAGAAGATATGACGACGATAGACGCAGAGATTCCCTCGGTGTTCGAACGCCTATCTCGAAGCCAGAATTATCCAAGGAAGAAATTGAACGTCTCGAACAAGAGGCTCTTAATGATCTTCTGAAAGAAGGCAAAAAGGTTGCTAATCGATCTAGACATTTACTAGAAATGGAGGTTGATGAGACCTTGGCACCACCTCCTCGAAAAGCAATGCCCGCCTCAGCCATAAAACCAATATCTCGAGATACACCTATTAAAACGATTGAGCATAAGAAAACTACAGTTGCGAAGCTCAAGGAAGAATCCGGTTCGAAAACGCCTCAACTCGCCGATACGAAATTGATGGTAGACAAGGCGAATGAGTCCAGCCATGACAAAGAAGGTAGTCAACGAGCTAAAAGTCCTGAATCAAGCAGGGATACTACCAAGGTTAAGGATGAGACAAAGACTAATGAGGAATCTAAAGCTACAGAAGTAAACCACGATGGTCGCAAAGACAAGGATGAACGCTCTCGCCGTGGAAGTCGAGATCGGGATGATAGACGACGACGAGACAGCAGAGATAGGGATCGCGACCGAGATAGAAGGGATAGTAGAGATCGGGATCGAAGTGACTATCGACGACGTAGGTCAAGTAGAGATCGTGATGATAGGCGTGATAGAGATCGTATTCGATCAAGATCTCGCGACCGACGAAGAAGTTACAGATCACGAAGCCGTGAGCGTATAGGGGACCGTGACACAAGACGTGCAGAGAGCAGTGTGACTAGGACAAGCGCCTCGAATCTCGATACGGAATCATACAAAGTTGCTGCGGCACAAGCAAGAGCCGAGGAAGCTAGAAAGTGGAACGAAGAACGAAAGAATCAACCACAATTACCTAGTTTATCAACCAAAATGGAAGAGGTCATCGCTGCCACACCTAGAGCAAAGGATGATGCTAGAATGAGCAGTCCTGTCTCGGCAAGAAAAAGAGAAATTTCTCGCGATAGGGAAAGTCATAGGAGAGAATCTCGCGCAAGAAGTAGGTCACCTACTGCGAGACGAAGTAGTCGGATCGAGAGAAGCACTAGTCCGATCAATATTGACCGATATGTTCCAGGTGCCACTGAACGAAGGGAAAGTATAGTTGCGAGAAGTTCCCCAAGGAAGAGGGACAGAAGTAGGGATAGGGACAAGGAGAGGAGATCAAGAGATGATGATAGGCCGAGGAGGAGGAGCCGATCGCCCGATGATAGGAGAGATAGAGACAGAGATGGGCATTCTAGGAGGTATAGAAGTCGAAGTAGAGACAGGGATAGGAGGAGGGAGAGGAGTAGGAGTAGAGATAGGGAGAGAGATAAGGATAGGGATAGGAGGGATAGGGATCGAGATCGCGACAGAGTCAGAGACAAAGATCGTGATAGAAAAAGAGATAGAAGTAGAGAGTCGAGGAGGGAATCGAGGAGATAAGTGTATCTGCCCTTGTAAGATAGGAGCCGAAAGAAGGGGAAAGGAGACCGTGGTCTAGGTATTCATAATAGCGTCCCGTACGCGATCACAGAATTTCGGTAACTTTGAGTGTAATTTTACCTCGCTCGCCACGTCAATTGAGCGGCGGATGAACGGATGTGGTTACTTACGTCTGCAACCTGGAGTAACGGTGTTAGGAAGTGTTGGTTGTTTGTACGATAAGTTGCAGAACTGGGATAATGCTAGGGGATGTTGATTCATAATTGAGAACACCCAAATAATGCAAGCGAAGAGTTTGAGGAATTTAAGACTTGATTAATAAACTTTTCATAACATTGGTCTCTAGTGACGACATTCTCCATTGTCTCAGAAAGTAATAGATTACCCGAATTGATGAGAATTGAATTGGCTCCAGACTAAAGAAATGTCAACTACAAGGATGATTGACACTGTTGGTGAAACAATGGGACCTTATAGTCTAATGTCTTCTTCCAGACAAGCTCGCTCGCCTCTGCCACGCTAAAAGACACCAAATTCTTCAAATTCAACTCCTCTGTCTTCAAGCCCTTAGCATGAATAAATTCCGCTTTAGAAACCAATTTCTTGCCCTCCCCGAAAGCAACAATAGCCTCAGCCCAATCAGCAAAAATCTTTCTCGTCTGCGGTGCTTTGCCAAATACCCAGAAGAATGTATGAGGCATACCCTCGTATTCCTGAAGCACAACTGGAACGCCCTGTGAAAAAGCAGTTTGAGCAACCAGTCGAGAGCCATCCACAATTTGTTCCTGTCCCGATGCAAACCATAGAGGACAAGAGCCAGACCAATCAAAGGAAGCAACGGGACTTGCTAGCGGGTGAGCAAGCATCCCGGCCTCGCAGTATAAATTTCCTCGTGCGGGCTTGGTTGGCCAGATCGAACAGGTAGGAAAGTTACTCTCTAGGTAGGGAAGTTTCTCGATGGGAAAGGGAAATATATCATACATTTTGAATCTACTAAGCTCAATTTATTGAACGGGATCGAAGCTATGCATTACGTCACCATTTTTAGCTCGCCTACTTGCCCGATCTCTTCCAAGTTGTCGTCTCCTTGAAATACGTATTGCACTGGTGGAGTTTCCTGTCCCTCTACTTTCATGACGTGCTGAATGTTGACTTCCTGCCATGTATCAAGTCTGGCGATAGCTTTATTGGGCGAATGCGCAATTGGTGCAACGATGAGGGGCAAATTGTGAATGAACTTCATTTCTCCAGTCATGTTGTAGCCTTGGCGACAGGTATGTACCACTTTTTTCCAAAGATCTCCGAATTCCAGTACACGAGGGGGGAGTCCCTCTATCCATGCATTTGGTAGGGCTAATTGAATGATCAGCGCAGGTGATGTGTTGACCCGTCTTCTGATGTATTGTCGATAGCGATCCGCAACCTGGTAGTCAGGTGTAAAGTAGAGTGCAGCGCCGTAGCCTCGAAAATCAGTCGCTGCTTTGCTCACTAGAGAGCCAACATGAATCTTGCCACCCTTGTATCCCAGCCTCTCTGTCGAGATGGCTTTGAATAAGATTTGAAGGCTCGGCACTGTTGAGTATCGCGGTACCCCAGTACTTGCTATACTAGGATTGAAAACATGATTATTCCTTGTCCTCTGATCACTTTCCCTCCTGATCCTTTCCAAACTTAGGTACCTTATCTCAATAGTGTCGGTTACCCAATGCTGAGCTGACTTCGTGCATCTTACGTCGGTAAATTCAACATCCATTATCGCATCGATAAGCTCATCGCTGATTCCCCAACACCTCATGTGCTCCTCCCAGTCGCTGGAACTATCCTCGAAATTCCGGCGAGGAATATGTCCTAAAGCTTGTTGTAGAAAATCGACTTCGAAGATTGTTCCCTGTTCCTGCTCTGTCTCTTGTATTACCTTCCACTTGTTCCATATCTCAGCAGCTTTTGTGGGATTCCAGCCAAGCCATTCGATAGTCTCCTCACTCTCGAGAAACTCGGGTATCATAGTGAAGTCTTTCGTGTCGACTCCTGAGTCCTCTGATAGACCAGAATCGGATGAGGAGAGTGATACAGACTGTGAAATAGACGATGAAACCAATCGTCTTCTGTGTAAAGCAGGTTTGAGAAGGTTTCTTTGCATTAAAAATGCATCATCGGGCGCAGTAAAGATAGGTTTTGCTGCCATGGTGGGAGAATGTAGCCTGAAGAGATGGACTATGATGAATTTGTTATAGAGTGAGATTGTATTCGGAGTTGTCTAACAGATTTGATATAGAGGAGATTAAGTTGTATTGCACAGAAATGGGAGCAATACAGTACATTTATAGTAGAGATAATCATATGAGTAAACTAGAGTTGGATCCACAAATCTGTGATTCATAGTCATTCAATCTGATTTGAAATGATTTGATATAGTTACAAAAAATTTGACAGTAGTTCAAACTAATTTGATAGTCGTGTAAACTAATTTGATAGTAGTTTAAACTAATTTGACAGTCGTTCAGACTAATTTGATAGTAGTTTGAACTAATTTGACAGTAGTTCAAACTAGTTGATGAGAAGTGAAAATAGCTGATAGTAGCTCAAATTGGTTTGTGTTGGTTTGAGAAGAGTACAGATAACATAGTACCTATGATGTAGGTCCTACTGAATGATCCGCGGCTTAGTAATTAGAGAACTCTTATATTTGAAGATCTACAGGCTTAGTCTAGTACTAAGGGATATCTATAATTCCATAAAAAGGAATCCTCACATCATAGAACACCCCGCTGGACTCGTACACCATTCGAAGGCAAGCTTTGTGCCTTCATGCCGCTCTTTATCTGTGTAGAAACTCCCGTCATATGGATCTTATCACCATTGCTATCCCCCATCCTGTAATAGTATACGGTAGGATTAGTATGCGATTCGGAAGCGGTTTTAGTCGTACTTTTGTTGGAATTTGCGGGAAAATGGTTGGTCTGAATCGAAGTGCCTATAATCAAGAAGTATAGTGGGAAATTGAAACATTTCCCTTTGACTTCTGGATTCAAAAATGTAGCCATGGGTATGCAGTAGAGTAGATCACCAATGATGGTAAAGACAATCAAACTATACATATCTCCATTATAATGTAATTGTTTCTCAAGAAGCTATCGGTGGTGAAAATGCGACGATAGAAGAATAGGATCGAAAGTTTGATGGTAGTGACATTGATAGCATAAAGTGGAGGGATAACATACTCGCTCTTGAAATACTGTTGCGACTTAAGAGGCGAGTACAAGGGGGTCGGTATACGTCTGTCCGCTGCCGATAGTATAGACACCGACCAGCACATTAGCACAGAATGGAAAGAACAAAACGACACTGGCAATGAGAAGCCAGTCGTCAATACCAAACTTGGCCCTCTTTACTACCCTAGTCCAGACGCAGAGCGCAGCCACTAAGGTAGATAATGCCATAAAGAATATGAAAATTACTAGAGTCGTATATCCCACGTGATTCAATCCCAGCTTATAGGGGCGGAGGAAGCAGGAGTAGTCATGTTGTATTGATAAGATAGAAGGCAGAGTTGAGATAGTGAAAGAGAAAGTCTGACAAAGGGCTCCAGTAAGGCAGTGCCGTAGAATTAGAGTAAGCGTAGAGATACTTACGTTATATGTTTTAAGGAGAGGAAAATAGAGGATAGCATTTGAAGTCAACGAAACACGACGGGCAATGTCGAGTATCAGAAGAGGGTTCTGGTTGTGCCTAACTCTCAACTAGAGTGTTGTTGTAGTACCTACAGGTGTGTGAATAGAGCTTGAGGATATCCATAGGACCGTCACGTCTTCGAACTACGGCTGCCGTTAACCCTAATGTCTAAGGAGGGGTCAGAGATCCCTATACTTTTCAGACGAGGGCTTTGAACAGGGCCTCATTCTATGGCTGCAGTCACGGTTGCGTTTCTTTAAAAGATCCCTCTTGTAAAGTCAATTATTGTGAAGCTTTCCTAGTGACAATCACAAACAATGGGAATGCACCTTTTTTGAAATGCTAGGGATCCTGACAAAGAAAAACATTTAGCGAGTAGAACTTTTAATTGATATATTCTAGTCGAATTAAAATATGATATGTTCTATTGCAAACGCATTGTTTCTGAGATGTGATAAGGTTGGTGACGGCAAACGGCAGAAGAGGTCTCGCAGATCCATGCTGGAAGAAATGCTGCAAGGAATCTACAATTAGCGAATTCTTAATTGTCACTCCTTTTCGATTTATTGAAATCTGCCACCCCCCTTTCCCTCGTTTTTCTTCCAAGCAAGCTGCAGATTTGTTTCCCACAAATTAGCAATTTAAGTCACAACAAGTCTGACTCACGAAGGCTTCAATTTTTAAATTGACCTACAAACGAGGAGAAAAACATATGCCAAGTTTTGAACATTGCCGTAGAACCCCAATAATAATAGGAAAGGGGGGTGAGTCTACTTTGAATTGGCTTTGAGTAATGCAACCTAATCTTTATTTCCTCAGGATTACCGGCGGGATTACGAACCTACTAGTCTGACCGGCCATTCCCATCTGTTGAGTCGATTCGGCATATTTTGAGTCTTACATGCATATTTGCAAGCATTCCGCATTATCAACAAGACATCCATCCAGAACGAAACAACCGGTCGCACCAAAACTCGCCAAAATCTAAATACTTCTAGAAACACTATGGCTTTGAAGGTAGGCAATAATATGAGAAAGTGACATGAATCTATAAAAGTGATAAACTAATTGTAGATTATAAGTATTTTAACATTTTCTTAACTTGATTTATTTGATAACCAGGAGTTTTGATAGTCTGATGTAAAGGAGAATACCAGAAATGGTGTGGTCTTTTGGTCTATCGAGTTTCTCGTCCTAATGGAGCGGATATCCCTATTCGTTGAACTCTTGCGATTGCAGGCACCCTCCAGTCGACGGCGAGACATGCCCTTCTCCAATCGCGGACTATATATTTATGTAGCCTCATCAAAATATCTTTAGTGTGGAGGCTTAACAGATTGCTACTTAGCTAGTAAGTCAGCAATTGCTAGGAGAGAAATATGCTTCAATCAGAATCGCCGCAAGCGAGCTAGTAGTGTTTCACTGAGGCTTTTCACAAAATCATTGGACAACTTATAACTATTGAGATTGTTTTCCCGATTAATTAATGTGCGATATTGCACTAATTGGCTCAATCTGTCTCTCTCAATTTAACCAATATACCAGGGATGTCTCTCGCCTGGGCGCCTAGAATGTAGTCTCGGCTAGCATCTATACCACGCGCTCGGTTAACTTGTGAAACATCGAAATCAAACCGTCGATACACAGAAGATAAAATCAAATAGAGCTCTGCACGAGCGAGATTGATACCTAAGCAGGATCTGGTCCCGCGATTGAAGGGGACAAGGTACCGCTCGAGCTTTTTGTCCTCGTTTCCCAGCCATCTTTCGGGCTTGAAAGCCATAGATTCCGGGAAGATGTTTTTATTTTGATGCGCGGGTAAGGTTGTCGTGCTAACTATTGTTCCGGTTGGAATCTTTTCACCATGGAAAATAAAGGGTTTTCTGGAAACTGTCGGCCAATACGGTGGGTAACTTGATCGGCAAGACGAAGCCCTTCTTGGATGACAGCTGTCAAGTACGGCAGTTTTTCTAATTCTAATAGTGAAAGAGGTTTTGAAGGGTTTGGGATGGCAGATTTCAGCTCCTTGTGAAGTCTCTGAGTAACCCCAGGGTTGGCCGAGATGTGATATGAGGTTCCTCTGAGGAAATGTGCTTTGAGGATACAAAAATAGTAAGCAGTTATTTGCAAGATTTTCTACAGAGACTACTCCCGTTGTACCAGAACCTGCTGTGACTAGGCTAAGAGCTTCATCACGTAGTCTGTCTCGCTCCATTTCTTGGAGTTGTAACTTGCTCTCCAGTAGTTCATGAAAGACAGCCTTATCGACAAGTTTCCTTGATTTGGGCACTTCGTGCTCATGTCGAATGGACTCTACTTGTTTCGAGAGATCCTAAACTTGGACAAGGATTGATCGAGTCAGGATAAATTGTTAAGATTCACCTTGCGGCAATCAAGGATATCTGCCATGGCAGGAGCCAAGATTTTGTTCCCGTTGTTCTATAGATGTCAGCATCATCGGAAATCAGAGGCCGAAAAGGACTAGAGATACCGGAAGAGAATAACTAAATCTCATCAAGTATGGGATATGAATGTTCTTAAAAGTTAGTGTCTATTCCAATCGATTGACCTTTCACGTACCAAAAGACTAATAACCAAGAAGTTGTCCACATCGTCAAAAGACTTACGACCAAAGTCTTCCCTCAAAAGTTTATCTGGTTGCCTCGAGAAACAGTAGTCATTGATGATATCCAGCGTCACCGCTGCATACAAATACTTCACATTGAGAGTTATCCCAGATTTACTTGCCTCCTAAAGTCGATCGCAAAGGCGAGGATAGGACGTTGGATTCTTGAGACGATGTCGTTGATTGATAAAGACAGAGATGTACCGCTGGATATGGACCGAATGCTTCAGCAACATTTAGAGGTTTTTGCGTTCGGCCGTTTGATTGATTAAACACCTCTTCGAAGAAATAAGGATCGTCAATATGGATCTCATTCGGGTTGATTCTAATGATAGGACCTCGAGGAATATATCAGTGATGTCAATGTTACGACAGAAGACTCGAAAGCATACCATACTGCTTGTGCAGCTTTTTGAGATGAAATGTGTGTTGACCACTGAGGTACAAATCGTAGTATCATTGGTAGAGGTAAGTCGATATAGCAAGTGGATATCCGGGAATATGTGCAAGAGGGTGGAATTGAAACCGATAAGTCAGTAATCCAGCTCCGTAAGCAATGAACAAGGCTAGTAGTAAGGTTTGTATCTCCATGATTTCTGATCTCAATGGGACCAAAAATGAGAAGATGCTGTGGTTTTGCGACACTTAGATAAAAAGCAAGAAGTTCTATCTAACCAGTGTATTAGGGTACGATTGTTCTAAGCTTTGCCAAGACCGAAATGATCAATACGACTGTAACTAACCACACGCCTTATTAAGCCACTTTGTGAAACCTCGTCCGCATCGTATCATATCTGACACCCTTGTACGCCACCAACACGTAAGTAGCTACCCCGCTATCTGTGCCGCATGATATATTATATTCTTCGGCAATGCAAGAAATTACAGCCTTCGCAGGCTGTCGTTTTTTCCAGGGTGTTGGTAGGAGTTGTGACTGCAATATCGATATCAAAATAACAATGCAAGGCCTAGCTCTAACAAAAATCGAAAGCAGCTATTCTATTCGAACATTATACTTTCAAGAATTACATCCATTGTTGACCAAAACTGATGAATCAGTGAATTCTGGCTACGTGCACCACCCAGCTGGAGAATATTTCTCGGCCCGCATGCTGTAACACCCCCAAAAATGTCGGCCTTCGTTAACACGGGGCTTCTCTCGGTCGGCATATGTATAAAACCCAAAAAGAAAGGTTAACACTGCGAGTCTCAGTAAACCTCGAGTGAGAATCATGTAGCCAGCTTTTAGCTCTAGCCGAAAAACTTACAGCCAGTGGTCATAACCAGAATTTGCAGCGAGGATCTGCCTAATATAGTATTGATGGCACGGCCGCTTCCCAGGAAGAAGAAAACAGTCGAATGAAGAACCATAACTTGCTATTCTTTTATTGCAAAACCCAGTGGTTGAAGATAGAAAAAGAAGTCTAACTTTCTGTGGTATTTGCAGTAGCTTTTAAAACAAGATTTTGACTTCCTCGTTGTCAATTCCAACCATGGAAAACTCCGAGCATGAAGTCATCAGCACGGATCTCTATTCGTGATACTTATGGAGAGCATTCCCATATTTACTATCCCATCATCATCATTGGAACTGGACCTTCAGGCACAGCCATGGGCTGTCAGTCAAAAAGCAAGCTTCATTTTGACCAGTTCAAAATATTTGATGGCCACGAGGAGCCTGGAGGTGAGCTTTAAATCTCTGGTCTTATTTTGGAAAGATCAAAGCAAAGCAAAGCTGACGAGAATAGCCATTAGGCACATGGTGGGCGAACACATATCCCAGAATCGTGAGTGTCTCAACATTCCACCTCTATACTATCTTTTAATTGGTACATTTGTCTAAACTTATGATGTGTAAGTTGAGCATTCATTGGACTTAAAGTGCTTTCTTACTGGGCTTACTTAGACAAAGCTTGTTCTACTCATTTTCCTTCGCCCCGAATTACACTTCACCGACCGCATTCCCTTCAGGTTGTGACTGTATGACGTATCTCAATCAGGTCGCAGAGGTATCTGAGATGATGGACAAGATCAATTTGAACACGGAGTTCAAGAGCTTGAGATGGAAAGAGGAGGAAGAAGAAAAGTGGGAAATAGAGATTTGTCAATTTTCCCCAAAGGCCAAACCCATAACTCATAGTCGACTCGAGACAATCCGGGCCAAAGTCGTTATTAGTGGTGCCGGCATTCTTACCAATCCTGATGGTTGGCCAGAAACTGTCTCTGGAAGGAACACGTTCAGCGGTGAGATTTTGCACTCTGCTCGATGGCCGAGGAATGACAATCTTAAAGGAAAAGACGTGGTGCTTATAAGCTCAGGCTGCACCACCGCTCAGATTGCACCCTCAATTCTTCGAACCCAGCTCGAGTTATTGACGCACATTATACGGAATCCACCGTGGTGTGTTCCTCGTATTGAAGAACCGGGAGGTAAAGAAGTTTACGCAAAATTCGCACCTACGATTCACGGCTCCGTACCGATTTTGGACTTTCTCGTTCGGTTCATTATTTGCTGCATGTCTGAGTTGCTACGGTACGCTACATACAAACGAAACAATTGAAGCTTCGAAAAAGCCATCCCTGGATCGTATAAAAAAGCTGGCTCCTCAAAAGTGCCATTCGATATTAACGACTCGGTATATTCTTGACTGTATGGGCCGCGTCTTCGACGATGGTTGGCTCCAGAGTATGAGCGATACTCGCTATACTCCAACTACACAGCTTTGAATAGGTATGAGAGACAATGAAGTAACCGTCGGGAGTTCCGAATCAAACTCCAACCTCGCTGGACTGATCAGAAGGTGACCTTTAAGCAAAGCGCTTGCTGTTCCTCTTGAGAATTTGAATTTCTCGCGCCCTATGCATATGTATGGGGTCGACTCACCAATCGCTGTTGAGTTAAGAAATTGGTTTAACCAAAAGCTCGACGCCGAGGTCGCAGTATTTGAGATCTTAGGAGAGATAGCATTCCAGGACATAGGTATCCTAGTTGCGCGGAAAAGTAAGCTGGTAAAGGCACTCTTGGCAGGGGCTTGAAAGTGGGAGCTGTTGAGTTAATGTATGAACGTGGGTGAATAACCTTAAGTTATTAGGCTACTGTAGTACACTGAGCTAGAGGGCCAGCCTCAAGCATATAAGGATGCCTCTTCCTATACATAGCTAGCTCTCTAGAAAGAATACAATATTGAAAATCAGGACCTACCATCGTAGATGCTACATCATCTGTACCCTTCTCAAACCAACAGTTAAGAAATCCATTTACCTAAACCTCCAAACCTCCAAACCCCAAGATTCGAGATCCTAAAAATATAACATTCCAGAACATTAGTATCCTGTCCTGTCCTAATCGCAAGCAAAAGTAAAAGTAAGCTACCTCCCTACCTAGGTAGTAGAGACAATTTTAGCCGAGACATAAAACTCTGAATAATCCAGAGTACTACAGTACTCTCCTATCATATCCTACAATCCAATATTATCTTTACATCCTACAAGACTTGATGTTTTCATCCATGCATACACTAATCAACAAACGCATTCCCTTTCCAAACATCCAAATACCACCCTTCACACAACACCTCCTTCTGAGATATCAAGAAATACATAGGTACGTGAGTTATCAATATATTCAGAAATCCAGAAATTTATTCCAAGATCTCATCTCATCTCCAATCGATCAAGCAAGCCACTATGTAGTACTCTACAACTAACTTCCGCCACCTCATCCATTCCCGACCTATCATCCTACTTGCTTTGCTACACTAAATACGGATACTTCTTAACTACAGTATGAAAAAGGTAATAAATAGAAGAAGAGAAAAGAGCATTCAACCATGCATCCACATACACACATTAAAAAGAAATGCCCTCAACCTCGCCAGCAGACAGACAGGCAGATAGATAGATAAACATCTGAGACGAACTCGAGAACCAAGATTCCAAAAAGAAGAGAGATAAAAATTCAAGCGCAGAAAGATAAGACTAGACGAACAAAATATCAGACCCATTTCATCTCATCCATCTTACTCCTCCCCAAAAACTCCCAGTCATCCCTATCCGAAACCCAGTCCCATCCCATTCCAATCCCATCCCATCCCATCCCATCCAAACAATCCCGTTCAAGCAATAACCATCCATCAACTTTTTGTTTATGGCCTCCCAACCAAGCCGGCCCAATAATATTAATGCCAATGCCAGTACTTATTCCAACGCCTATAAATCAATATGTACCCGAGCAAACCCAACTCTTCCATGCGAATTCGTCACACATATCTGTACATATGTAATAGCACCCCATTATCATTTCATTCCAGTATATCTTCTGTGGCATGGGCTTCTGCATACACTCGCCACCCAATCAGGTCCGTTACAACCAAGACCGTTATCAAAGATTTTGATTTGGTGATAAATGTTATCACGCTTGGGGAGATTTCACACCAGCTCCATTTCTACTTTCCTCACTCGTGCGGCCCAGCCCACCAAATTTCCTCTTTTTCACCGAGCCGGCCCCAGGAGTCTCAGCTTCCGCCTCAACATCCGTGTCTCCGTCTTTCTCCTTCGAAATCCTTTCTCTTTCCCTCTCCAGCCACTTCTCTTTCAAAACGTTATAAATCATCACAAACTGCGCAACTCTATGCACCATCAACATTCTCTGATCCCTCAGTCTCTTTACTGTTTCATAGACCGGATCTTTTTCTTTCGACAATCCATCCAGATGGCCCATTTCTAGTTCCCTCAGAAGGTGATCTAGCGCGATGAATGTGCCAGTACGACCAACACCTGCCGAACAATGAATTATACGAGGAGTGGTTGAATGATTGTTGGCTGCGCGTGAGACGTCGAGGAGGGAGAGGAGGGCATGTATATCGGCTGGTGATTGAGGGATGTCGTTATCGGGCCAAGATTCGAAGAGGAAATGGTGGATTGTACGTTCTTCAACTTCAGCCTCCGCTTCTGCTTCTGCTTCTTCCTCTTGTAATTCCTCCGTTGTATTTTCTGATTCCTTTTCTGTTCCAGGGTTATCCTCTGCTATTGTTTCAATCGTCTCGACCGTTCCATTCCCAACACTCGCACTGCTTTTTGTGCTCACACTACTCGCCGCTCTCTTTACTCTCTTGACTTTTAATGTCCTCCGAACGGTGCCCCCCTCTTCTTCCTTTCCCACACATCTAACCTCCCAACCTCCAATCGTCTTAATCTCGTCCACATCCTCCGCATAATAAACACCACATTTTTCCTTTCCCTCTTCAACCGGTCTCGTCAGCATAACCACCACCTCTGCATTCTCCTGCCAACACATTTCCCAAAACAATCCCCCATCATTTCCATTATCCCTTGGTCCTTGCGTCGCAATATAATTTTCCTGCTCCTCTCCACTTCCATTCGCAGTGCGAAGTGCGATGGGCGATGCATTTATATAACCAAATTGTAGTGAATGGAGATTAATTCGATGATGTTCCCATGGATAGACATCGCTATATCTATTGCGCGATACTACAACAGGGTGATGTATTAATGTATTTGGTATAGTTCTGAGCGTTTGTTCATGATTTCTCAGAGCTATGAATTTGCTCATCAATACGTTCGATGAGTAGTTGAGGAAATGTGGAATCGCATTCTTCTGTTTCGGCGATGCAAAATCCGTTTTGACTGAGAGACTTGTAATCATGGGGGACATGAAAGATTGTCGTTTGGAAGGAGATAGTTTCGCGGACGAGGTTGAGACGGATAGTGATGGTTTGTCTGAAGTACTTGGTCTCCTCTCAAATATTGAGTTTGGGGGTTTATTCGGTAATTCGGTAATTCGCGTTTGTGGTTGTGATTGTGATCTCTCTAGTGAAGACGAGAGTTCATCACCGCTACCGCTATTACTAAGACTGCCACTGCCACTACCACCACCAGCCTCAGCACCATCGACGTCGTTGTTATCGATCGTGTTCATATTGCCGTTTTCTCGATGGTGATTTCGATGGAGATGTACCGGAGAATGTTGACGAATGCAAATTCGAATTCGTTGAGAAAGAGGAACTTTGTCTGTTACCACTCTAGGTGTATGATTTGAATGTCGCAAGATACCCATGACAGAACACCCCTCAAGGAATTCTATTTATCTGGTATGACGTATAATATATTTTTGGAAAAGAGGCGTGAGTTTAATTCTTATTTCGTTGGATGATATTGCTTCAAGATCCGAGCGAGTCTGAGAGCAGATGCAACAAGGTTGAGAGGTCCAAAATTAGATATTATAAGATCTTCATGAAATATAAGCAATGGAATGTCTGCCAGTAAGAAAGGAAATGGTAGTAACGATAGGAAGTATGTAGAAGGAACTAGCAGTATGATAGAATAGTACTTCTGAATATTATAACAAGAGAGAGAAGTAAAGTAAAGGGAAGAGAAGAGAAGAGAAGCCAAAGTATATATTCAAGTGAAGTGTATGAGATTCCTTTGACCAACAAATCGACTAAAATGAGACCTTTGGAAATATCGAAATGGGAAGATTACCTAGGTAAAAAGTGCCCACCTAGGTATAATCGAGATATTGATATAGAATTATAAACGGAGTTGTAAATCATTTTTATTATTCAAAGTCATAGTAATAGTCATGGTCATATAATATAAACCTTCGACCTCACAGTATTCGGTTGTTTAGACCTGAGAGAAAGTACCGATACACACATCGTAGATATTAGGTAGTGGAGATATTAACAAACATATGAGAAACGGGTTATCGGTACATACAGCTTAACACCGATTTTGCAGATGAAAATCTGGGGTTGGGATCACTTCCTACCTTGGGAAATTGGTTCAGACTCCATTTGCCCGTATAGACGTATAGAATCCTGATAATGGAAGACGATGGGGCAAATTGGGTGGATGGGTGGGTTGCTTGATGGTGCCGACCGGTGAGACTACTTTCATACCATAACTCCGTTTCAGCTGGGAATGGGATCATTCATTAGACTTAAAACTAGTTTGTTGCTTGTTTGAAGTTTTTACTATGAACTACGTAGCATCTGTCCATTCTAAGATTGTACGTATTCCATCTCGCTCGAATCATGGCTCACTCTATCGAAGAAGGATTGTCATTCTCCTATTCGATTTCATTGATATACACTGTATACCCAACCTATATTACTACACATCGCTACTTTCTAGATTGTTTCAGATCCTTCCATTGCATGTACCTTCCCAAAGCAATAGATAAGCTTTTTGCTGCCTGCAACAAGCTATTGAAGATCCTTAGGATCTCATTAACTCTTTAAGGCTTCATCAAATAAATCTACCTAGGTGTTTTCAAGTACTCCAAGCATTCTCAAAAGCTAATCGTCACTCCACGTCTCAATGTTAGGAACCATGAACGCTACCAACTATTTCAACATTCCAGGTTTAATGTTCATACCTATTCCATACTTCCTATTCGTACCTAGATAGATATCTCCAACAACTTCCTACTCCTTACGAAACCCTCCTCTTCCTCATCCTCATTCCCAAAATTTCCCATCCACCATCCCCTGTCCAAAACCCTCCGGAGTCCATAGGGAGTGAAAAGTTTCATCCCGAGCGCCCCATCTCGCCCATTCAGCCCCATCATCGGAAATCAGTTTTTTGAATCCGTGATATATTCCCTATCCTCTTATGATTAATCCCTACCCAGCTATTTACTTACCAGGTCCTCAGCTCACATAAATAGAGTTTCCCAATCTCCAAAAACGTCCGAGCGATACCCGTTTTGCTTCCAAGATTGCTCGGTAGCTAAGCGATGCCTAACGATTTTGTACTTTGCTCCGAGATGTTAATAAAGTACCGGGAACTCCTGTGATTGCCATCAAATTGAAAGCATGGAGTCTTGTTATCGGAAGTATTTAAAGTACCGATAAAATCGGCATTATGCCAAAAGATAGTACAAAAATGAGATCATCCGAGACCTTAAGAATACGTGCGTCGTAATCTCAATCAACATTTCATCATTGTTAAGATATCAAAAATGCTAGGAGTGCTGGCAGGAAATACAAGATCACCTTCGTCACCATTTGAGGGTAATCAAGATACTCTGTAAGTGGATTCAATGATATGAATCTATTTTATCCTAACTTCGGAGTTAACCTATACTTGTGCTGTACTCGGATGCGCCGAGGTAAAAAAAACCTCATGTGTAGTCCGGCATCGACTGGTATTGAACCAAGCTTCCACCCAATGCCATCAAACCCTTCGAACCCACAGAATCCAATTCAAACGCCACGCTATGCATACAAATTAACAAATACAGCATCCTCTTCCTCCTAAAGTTCCCCTTGTTACCCAGCTTATACCATAAGCAATCCCCCCATATTATTCTCTCTCGTCCCTTCACTGCTATCCCTCCCACCTTTGCTTTTACTTGTACGCATGTAGGGTTGAGGGATCAGTATAGCTTTAGTTGGAGTATACTTCGCTTCCATTTTTTGCTTAGTATCTTTGTCCCCATCTGAGCCTTCTGAGGCAGTGATTTCTTTGTTATCATGACTTTCGTTACTCGTAAACTGCGTGTCTACGTCTGATAAATTAGAAGATGACGAAGATCTTGATATAACGTGGTCTGTGTCATCGGCCTCAGTGAGAGGTGTAGTTTTTGTTGAGTTTGAGATCGCCTCACGAGACATGAAAGGAGTGGTTTCATCATGAGAGCCGCATGCCGATTTTTCTATACCAGTATCTTGCATCGATATATCGATAACGGGGTCTGGGGCTGATAGATGAATAGCAGATTCTATCTGATCATAAAAGAGCATAAATACCCCTCCTTGCGCTAAGACATTATCTTCACTGACTTTCATGACATGATCATCACTTAAACGCCACCATTGATCTTGTTTACTACCATTCTCATCAGTTTTGTTTTTTGAAACTGGATGTCTTCGGTAGCAAATATAGTGACCATTATCATGCCTCCCAGAATGGGTAACAACTGCCCGTAATTCGTACACTGGTCCCTGTATCCGAGATTTCCTTTGTGTTCCCGCAACCATAGAGTCATATGGGGCTAAGAGCCATTCTTCGCTATCATCTTCATCGTCATTGTGACCGGCACTACCTAGACAGTACGGGCCAAGATCGAGATGTTTGGGAAAGCGAATGGCGGCTGTCTTCTTACTCAACTCTCCATCAGGCCCATAAGTGCTTCGATTAAGATGAAGGGCCAAAGATTTTGGAGGCCGAGCAATTATATCTTGTTTTGATTTGGTAACTGATACCCAATTTTCTATAGGTATTTTGCACTTATCTTTAAGTGTCTTTTCCGCAAAATCATCATTTTCTAGTGCTTCTGTGACGGCCCGTAGTCGTTCCGATGTATTTATGCGAATTCGATTATCTTCCGGTTCAGCCTCAAGTCGCTCCATCAAAGTAGAAAGTAAATGCTGACTTTTTTGTAATGTACATCTCTCACAGTATACACCATTAACAAATTCTAGCTTTGTACCTTCGTGAAGCAATTGAGAGAGGTCATATTCCCAGCCTTCCCCAACAATCAAAGGCTGACAAAGAGAAGGCGTCGTTTTCAAGCCTTCGGAGTAACCACATTTGGTGCACACAACCCTAGTAGCGGTAAGTCCAGTCAAAGGATTCGGGAATAAAGCTTGCGTGTGTGATGGTTGCTGACTCGAAACTTTCAGAATATTGAGCTGCTCCAATCCCGATACCCCGCCCAACTTTGTCGTTGTTCCATACTCTTTGTCTATTGCGCCAAGAAGACGAGAAAAGTATTCTTGCGCATCTTGTTGTTGCCAACTACTCATGTTTTTCAATGCCGCCGGTGTCCAAATCCTCCTCCCATTATTCGATTTGTCCTTTAGAGTAGCAATCAACTCCTTCAAAGCATTGGCCATTTTGATATCTTCGGATCTCGAACCCTCCCGCTGTAGAGCTTCATCATTTTGGAAACTTTCTAGGAAGTCTGGCAGTGAGTCTAACGATGCTAGTCCTTGTAAAATGCTATTTTGATAGCAGGAATTATCCCAATTTCCTAATCCTGCAGGTGTTTCATCGTCTCCCACAACCCCCAAGCCACCGATGAGAGGGAGAGTTGATAGTCTTCTCCTCCCAGCACTTGCGACGGAATCTATAATCCCACCAGGAGTGTCCAAGCCAAATAGACGGCGCATCATCTCACTTTTTTGCGCATGTGTTCGCGGGTATGTCATCGCGTTGGGATTTCGTATTGGCAGAGGATTGGAATAATGGTCGGCGTAATCGAGTAGTGCAGAAGGCGTCAGGTAAACTAGAGCGTTCCAAGCTAATTGTGAGGGAGGTAGGAGGTCATAATCGAAATTGATGAGCCCTTGATAGACTAATGCGATGACAATAGCTGATACCGACAAGATGGTTCCTATTCCAATACGTTCCTTCTGATATAATCCTTCAGTAAAGTCTTGATGATAATCATCTGCTGTAAACTGATCTCTATCAAAGAGATCATACGTTTGGCCGTTTTGAGGATTCATGCTTGGGTGGGTGAATAAAGGTGGATGGATAGTATGGAATGGTTGAGTTTCTGTTGAAAGATTGTAGATGAAGAATGCGAAGGCGAAGGCGAATGCGACAAAGTTCGAATATCACATTAAGGCGGACGTGAATGATTAAGTACCATTACTAGATAGATATTTAGTTCTGGAGTAAGAAGTCAGAAGCAGATGTCACGGTATTGCATTTAGAGATGTAAAAAGTTTGTAAAGATTTTGAGAATCATGTTATTATGCCGTAGGAACTCCATGTGGTTGGTGGTTTGCATACCTAGCAGCCTACCTAGTAGGTGTGGTAAACATCTTGAAAGGCTAAGTTGGTACTTGAATAGGTAGTAATAATAATAATAACAGTGTAAATGTGTGCTAAGTAAACATGTGAGTGCACCTCGTGTGCCTATGCGGATGAGGTTTAGTGTTATGTCTGTTAAGTCTGTTAAGTCTTTAGTGGATGGGAAGCGTCGGGATCCCTAGTAAATACTGAGTAATTACCCCACAACGAAATAATTAATATCTGCAGATTCAAAGGTTCAAAAGAAAAAGAAAAAGAGAGAGAAACAAGAAACCACAAAAACAAAACAAAAGAAAAAGACCTCCAAGAATTATCTTTATTGTTCATCTATCACAATGGGTAAAACCGCACCTCTTAAGAATAAGGCTTGTAAGTGAAACATGGAATCTTCTCTTCTTCTTCTTCTTCTTCAAAACTTGAGTACTAATAAATCCATCAGCTACCTCAGTACGTTCTCGCGCAGCAAAACGTGCATCATCTCCAAGTATCGACACCGATAAGTCTCTCAAAAATGTCAAGGCCCCAGCAGAAACAGTATACAACCCACAAATCCTATCTCCACATCAAGGTGCTGGTGTGTCTAAGAAGAAGAGTGGAAAACAATTGAGTTCAAAGGCAAAGAAGCGACAAAACAAGGGAATGGATCGAGCAGAAGCTGTAATGGATAGAACGTCCACGAAAATCGAGAAGAGCAAATACAGAGGAAGAAATGTTCAAGAAAGAGCAAAGACGTGGGAAGCTTTAAACAAAAAGGCACAGGAAGCTGTTCAAGCAGCAATGGACAAGGAGAACGAGGTCTCTGAGGAAGAGGGGGATGTCGACGTCGAGGATGATCAATCGCAAGGAGAAATTGAGATGGATGGTACTTCAGTTGCTCCAGTTGCTCCTGCTGCGCTCCAATCGGCTCCATTACCTACACCAGTGGAGGATGAAGAAGAGATTCTATGAATTTAAGAGGGAAATCTTATATTTGCATGGCGAACTGGCGTACCAAAGGAAGGGAAAAGGATGTTTCACGTTCAAAATTATGACTTTGATACCAATAAATCATGAAGGGTTGATTTGATAGAAATATGGGACGATCGAAGTCCAACCAAGTTCTGAGAGTAGAAATTTTGTAGGATGGTAAAACCATATAGCTGCAGAGCTCTGCATGGTGGAAAGGAAGCCATTCACAGATACGGTTCTGCGGTCTATGGAACTTTACAGTATGAGCGTACAATCTATGCACTCAAGATTTGACTGCAATGTCAAATGTAAGGCGCAGGTTTCCTCGAAAAGAATATCACCCCATTGTATTTGGCTCCCAAAACACATAATGCAAACTATATATGAATTAGCATTATATTCCGAGAAGGTAACAACATTTCACTGTCGACTGATCAATATTGATGTGAAATTTTACGATAAATAAGATTTTGATAAGTCATTGCACTCCCACCCACCGTTATCTTAGCGCAAAATTCTGGTCCCATGAATTCTTTTGCAGGGGTAAGTGCAGCAAGGCAGCCTAAGAATTGCTCTATTTCAGCCTCGTGAAACTTCCCAAGCTCTATCTATACGGTACATCGCAATTCAATTTATCAACCCGATTTCCTTAGCATCATTCACATATTCAATCTCAATCATGTCGGGGAAACGTATGACCGCGAATCCAATTAAACCATCACGATACCGACCGGGCAAAGCACATCTCGAAGAAGATGATTCTTCTGATTCTGGAAGTGATGCAGAAGAGACACCTACAATTGCGCCGCCCCCAAAAGCTTCAACCGCAATTGGAATTTCTAGCAGTTCAATCAAAGGTGACATAAACGAGAGGAGGAAAGTCGCAGCAGCCAAAGAAAATGCGCGAATTCAAGAAGAAAAGGCCTTGAAGGCTGCAGAAGAAGAGGGATTTGTGACGGAAGAAGAAAGTGAAGAAGGTGAAGAAGGTAGCGAGGAGGGAAGTGAAGAAGATAGCGAAGAGGAGGAGAGTAGTGAAGAAGAGGCGCCTAGGAAGGTTATGATGAGGCCGATATTCATCAAGAAGGATAAGCGGAACAATTTACCTGGGGCTTCTAACACCGATACCAAAACGGAAGAGGAATTGGCTGCGGCTGAGGAAGAACGAAGGAAAAAGATGGCAGATGAAATTGTCGAGGAGCAAATTAGAAAAGACATCGCTGCGAGAGAGGCGGGAAAGAAGAACTGGGATGATGAGGAAGAGGAGAATGAGGTGGACGATACCGACGATATTGATCCAGAGGCGGAGCTTGCAGCATGGAAATTGAGAGAGCTCAAAAGAATCAAGAGAGATAGGGAGGCAATTGAAGAGCGAGAAAAGGAATTGGAAGAAGTCGAGAGGAGGAGGAATTTGACAGAAGAAGAGAGGAAGAAAGAAGATGACGAATATATTGCGAAGCAGAAGGAGGAGAGGGAAGGAAGAGGAAAAATGGCAACAATGCAGAAGTACTATCATAAGGGTGCCTTCTATTCAGATGCATTGGCTGCTG